ATAAAATGCCTCGGCGTTTACGATTATCTTCCTCTATTTAGCTAAACGAATAATACAACACTTAAATATATGTTTTTTTATTATTTGAAATTTTAGGAAGGAGAATGATTTGGACTGAATTAATGGGATTAGGCAACTCAATACAAGATCAATGTGCCTTTCGGGAGAATTTTCTATGAAGAAACTAGGTTATAGATGCGAAGAAAACCCGGAAAACTCCAAGCAACCAGAAAAGGAATGTTCTGCATAATATACTGTCTTAAATATTAATTAAAGAGGAATTAAAAAATGAATGTCGTATTAACGAGAATCCAACACAAGGTAATGTTACGTTAAAATAAATAAAAAAGACAATTCAATCGCAAGATGACCATAATCCAACGATGACATCCAGAATGAATATTTATTTAAAAGTAAAAATTTTTACGTTCGTTCCAATCGGTTACTAGCGCACGAACTTCCCCCTTCCTATCCTCTTGTAACCAAAACAAAAAATTAGTCAATAAAATTGCATCAAAAATAAATAAAATTAGTACGTTTTAAAAGAAATAAGTAGAGTAAGACCTCGTTTAACGTCGTTTCATTTAGCGCTTTATCGTCTAGGAACTTAAGACGCGTTAAGCGGAGTCTTACTGTATATACAAGCTATAATAGTCACCATCTTTTAGTTTAAAATAAAATAAAAATTTGTATGAAAATGTTTTTATTCATTTTCTAATAATATATATATTATATTCAATTTCCTAATCTTATACCTTCTATAAATTCCCTTTTCCATATTCTCAACAGCTTTGTAAAAAATAATACCCACGAATATGGAGTTTCTACTGTACAATATGAAAACATTGTGTTTTTGTAAGATTTTGGGCTTCTAAGCAAAACATATTATTACCAAATTATCAAAAAAATTATATGACGAGTAAAATTTTGAAAAGTCTGAAACAAACTATTTTTATATACAAGAGATAAACGAGAAGAAATCTGTTTATATAATTACAAATGTTTTATTCTGCCTGTGTACAAACTACGAAAGGAAATACGATATTTTTTTATACAAGGAAAGGTGTCCGTCAGTGTTGTGTTCTTAGCCACTTGCTTTTTAACTTCTATTTAAATTATTTGATTATGCAAGTCAATGATTCTAGGACTTCTGGATTTGATATTGAGGGAGTGGAAGTTAAAATTTTGGTTTATGCCGATGACATTGTTATTTGCCGTTTGTAACATGGATTTAGAGGTTAAGAGTGTGTTGAAGTGGCTGGACAGATCTTAATCTAACTCGTCTCTGGTTCGAGCTTGCAGGACTTTTCTTTTTAATAATCATATTTGTTGGGGAGTTGGGATGAAAAAGTTACTTAATCATTAAAAATCACCATTATTCTAATGAATATAGGAACCACCATAATTGTCAGATTTTAGGTTGAGCGTTTCTGATACATCTTACTCGGAGTTTAAAAATAGAATTAGTCTGAATGATACCTTTTTTGGTTTCAATCAGCGGAAATGGGCTTTATGACAGAAAAGTATTTACATTTAAATTTTAGTTTTAATTTTATTAAAAAGTTTGTCAGTTAGTTACTTAGGTTTTTTTGGCACAAGAGCCATATAGGCCGAGCTGCGCCAGGGCCATGTCAGAGGTGATTATTTTTTTTATTATCTTAAGAGGTTGATGATCTTAAATGCTTTTTGTAATGAATCAATCAATAATTGAGAATTCCTTTCATATTGTATGTTCTTAGTTGTTGCGAACGAGCGAATACAGTATTTTGGTAAATTTAGATTGCCACGGGCTGATTTTTCAAAAATAAATGCTTATTCTTCTCCTAACATGTTCAATGTATTTTATCTATTTCCCATTTTTATAAAGCTAGTGCTTGAATCTTATTTCAGAGGACGTCACTATCGCTTAGTATTAAAAGTATTTTGGATTCATTTTCTTTGGGGTTAATCTGGTGTTGATCAGCTGTGACGATCTGTTGCTAATCTTTTTTGCATAATACTGTACTTAAATTTTCACCTACCTGAGGAAAAATACAAAATTATTTTTTTCTTTCATTTTCGTTTTGTAATATGTTTATTTCTATATTTATGGCACCAAGTCGTTACAGTTTGTTTACTGGTTTTCAATTATTGTATATTAATTATTGAAAATATATAATAATATCCCATATATAATGTATTGGATATTGTATATTAATTTAATATTTGTAACAATCTTTATGTTGCGTAATTTTTCTTGCTTTGTTCCCCGTACAAAAGGTAAAAAACCTTGTACTAAATAAATAAATAAATGTCAAAAAAAAAATTTTCCATCAAATTTTTAATTATCATCTTTTTCGAAAAACTTTATCCATAAATATTTTGATTGGATGCAATAAAAATAAACGACAAAATTATTAATTAGTAAAATTTATTTAATGACTTTAACGTGCAAATTAATATACACACACAAAAAAACAATTCTCCAAATGATGTTATTTATGAACACAAAAATCTAAACTTTTAAAAAATATAATACAGATCCTTCATACATATAAACAACCTGGTTAAAATAATAAAATTTCAATTATTATTATTATTGTTATTGTTATTTTTCTCCTTTTAACCTTCCAGTATCATAATAATTTTAGTTAATAGCAAAGGCACTGATGAATAAATTGTTATGATCTAACAAACAATTATTATAAATGCATTTATTATTTTAAAATATATAAAAAAGTTTTAACTAATTTTTCTTCATATATATATTCAATTTGCAATCATTGATATGTACTGTACTGTACATTTTACCTGCAATTTTCCAAAACTACATTTTACATAAAAATATGGCAAATTGAATTAATTTTAACAATGCACAATGCAATTTCCTAATTTATAATTTCGTTAGTCCTAATTGGTGCTTACACCATACTGCTTTTGAATACACAGGGTGGCCCAGAAGTCAGTTAACCTTTGTAAAGACTGATTTGTGTCTTATTGCTTACAAATTTTGCATACATTACAAATATATATTTTACAACACTGGCACAAACACAACTTTACTGACTTTCTGCAAAAAATTGCTTCAAAAAATGGTCAACTGATTTTTGGGCCTCCACTTATTTAATTTCGTTAATATCAATATAGCTTTTAGTATTATTACAACTAAAATATATGAGCATATGCATATATATTTGTTGTGAAATGTAAGTATTGAATATTAAATATTGCATACATTAATATCAGGAAATTTCTTAAAGGCACAGAAAATATTAAAACAAAACTTCCAATCACTTTTTTACATAAACTGAGCATCTACATAAAAAAACAATTTATGTAAATGCTTATATTAAAGAAAATAAGTCTCATAACAGAATGATGATAATTCTAACAAGAAAAAATAATCAAACTTAATGTTAAGTACATCAGAACAGAAAATAAATATGACTACAATCTTCTAAATGATATGATTTATATAGGAAAAAAATTCTATAAAAATATTAAATTGATATCTTCATTCAAAATAAATTTTTAGAAAAATTATTTCATACAGAATTTTTTACTAGTTTTTTAAAAATAAATATTGGTAATTTTAAATACAACTTTATTCTAAAGAATGTAAAATTGAAAGATCATTTCATTTTGATATGTAGGGAAGGAAATATCAATTTTAATAACTTTCAAGAAAACTTTTATTTAAACTTATGCAGGATGTCCACTATATCCTGAGATGTTTTTCTTTTTAATTTTGACTCTGTCCTGAAGGCACTAAAACAGCCTTTATGTCCATCATGGACTAAACCAGGCCCTCAATAGCAGTAGCTGAATGAAGAGAAAAAGACCAGACATATGTGAGTCAATCCATCCATTAATATTTCCAAGCAAATCAAACTCAAGCCTATATCGCATCTTTACTGCCTCAGCTATCTGGCCATCAATATCTGATGCAAAGGAAGCTTCACTGAAAAACTATTTATGAAATATAATTTGAAATAATATGAAATGTAATTTTTGTTTCAGGTGAATACTGAATATTCAAAGATTCATTCTAATGGACTTTTGAAGTCAAAAGCAAAAACTGTAAAAGTGTGTACTGGCACTACACAGCCAGCACAATATATTAAAAGAGGAGTTACAAAGAGTATATATTTTCTTGGAATGCTAAAGATTAGCAGTTCATGATATTTTAACATAATTCAAATAATTTTACACAAACTCCAAGATCTAGTGGACATCTTGTATTTTTATAATTTAATAATTAAGCCACTTATGGTTATTTCAGCACTATATACAAGTGATATAAGTAAGTATACCACATATCAATTATATACCAAATCAAATATTTTACTGTGTAAATTTTTTGAAGTAATCACTGTTTAGAAATAGTAACAATTTTATGTATTTAATTCTTTCAAAAAATAAATATTGTAGTTTTTTGACACATAATCAATACTCAATATTTAACTTCAACATTCTACATTGTTACCAGAAGAAACTCTAAATATCCAAACACATTTTATAAATTTTTCCTGATTAACAGTAATTTGAGATACACAAAATTATAACAAATATGTTTAGTTAGTTAGTTCAAATAAAATTTTTTAAATGAAAAATTGTTATTAACAAATTAATTTACTACGTTAATAAATTAAATGTTAAATATTACAAACTATATAAAATGGAAATACTTTTTGATTTTATCGCAAATAGATTCAATCAAAGTACATAAAATTGAATGTAAAAATTGATAAACTAAATAAAATATAATACTGTCATTTTGGAATGATTTTAATATTTTTAAAAAAATATTCAAATCCCAAAATAATACTATTATTAAAATACATTATCTATTAAACTGTAAAATATAATATTGGAATGAAATTAATACGTAATTAAAATGTAAATATTGAAAATGTTTATCAATATTAACTATTAAATTTGGAAATAAATATTTATCATTATATAAGCAATGTAAAATGTAATAAAGTTTCATTTTATTTTATGCTGATTGCATTTGGCAGATAGAATTTATATTCATAACTTTAATAATTTATTTTACCTGTTTATAATGTATTTAACTGGCATCTCTTAGAAAATTTCCAAATTTAATACATTGGTCATTAAAAATTCTTTTTAAAATGTATTTGGCAATTGATAATACTACAGTGTTTATTTAGTGAAACCTGTATAGTATGAAAATTTGTTACAATTGACTATTCTATAAACTTTTCACTATACTAACAGTTATTAAATTTTTGCTACTATTAATGACAGTTATTTTTATAATTATTGAGAGCTTATAAATAAAGACATGTATTTGAAAGATATTTGCATTTTTTATAATAATCAGTATATTATTGAATTTACTAACAGACATGTTTAATGCTTGGCATTTAGAAAAAATTTATATTACATTTCTGATGTTATTGTCATCATAGTTCATTGTTACTGTTTTCATATAAATCATGTTACAGATTATAGGAAAAAATTGCATAGGAATTGCAATAGGAAAAAATTACAGATCTGGCTGGTTTGAAGAGGAACACTATCACAGACAAAAGATTGGGTACAGTAGAACAATATTCCAGCTACTTTCTTAGGATCAGGATTAGTTTTTAAGTTGGCTGTTTGCAATGATATACTGATGATTATCACGGGGATACTTGGCCAATCCTCTGATACTAATAATAATAATAATATGAATATATCTTTTATACTAATATGAAATCAGTATGCTTATTGTCATGAATTTGTTGAGTTTCTAACAGCAATAATGTTATACAAATTTTGAAGGACAAAATTAAAATGTTTTCCTGTTATTCAAAATATAATCATATTTTATAAAATTTTGTTACTATTATATATTTGAAATGTCAAGATTTCTTAAACGTGATTTTAATTTTAAAAATAATTTTATAATGATTTGCATGTTTTGATAGAACTATTATATAACGATCAATTTATCACTCAAAACATTTTAGAATATTTTAAAAATTTCAATCTACACAGGTTTCACTATACACACATTTTTTTCCTTAAGTACAAAACAGCTATTTATACAATATTAGTAAATAAATTAAACCAACATTAAAACACTTTATGACTGTCTTTTCTAGAACAAAAACTAAAGTGTTATGTACTACTTATAACAACCATAAGTCCCAAAGTCTGGAATATTTCTTTACCAAGTTATCATCTCTCATAAGATGAGGCAAGAAAATTATATTGTCCTGACAAAGCAAAACAAAAATAAAGGCTTCTGATATGGCACAATACTACTGTGCATCAGATGCATTCAATTAGGAATATTTTCCATTGCTGGAAAATCTTCACATACAGAACTATCAGAGAGAAGACTCTGTTCAGCTCGTTTTTCCCAATAAGTTGCTCTTTGAAGAATGCTTTTGGATGTCTTACGTTTGGCTTTTGATACAGAAGAGGAATGATTACTTGTAGTACTTTCATCAGATGTATATCCATGGAATGCTTCTCCAGATACTTCCATATTCTTTTTTGATAAATTAATACTTTCATTTGTTGGAAGAGTACAATCTGATGGATGTGCCACATCAGTATTGTAAAGCACATTTTGGTCAACTGATTGTGAATGCAAGAAAACATTTTGTGCTTGTTTACGTACTTCTCTACTAAGATTACGAGCAGTTAAACTGTGTATCTGAAATTTAAAAAACACACATTTAATGAAATTAATATGTAATGAGAAAAATAAACATAATTTAATATATTAAAAAAAACATGTATACAGTAGACCCCCTATAAAATGGGTTCCTATAATTACAATTCCTATAAAACTGCGAAAAAATTGCGACGGTATCCGTAAAAACGGTAAAAAACTCCTATAATTACGTAAAACGTCATCAGGCAGCTGAACTATTTTCTGCCATCAAGCGCCACACTATGGAGAGATTACTATCGTCTGTACAGTATTACTATATATACAAATTATATATAAATTAGGTACTGTATATATAATTATATATTAACTTAACTTATTGTAACTTTGTTATAATTATATATATATATATTTTCCGCCGCGTAGCGCCACGCTACAAAGATTTTACGCTAACTATCGTCTGTACAGTATGTAAATTAGGTACCGTAAGTCTAATACAGTACTGTAATTTTATACATTTCTTGTGAAAGAAACATTTCTTATTCAACGGCGATTAAAATTATTTATATTAATGATGTCTCCGAAGTTCAACGAAGTTTTCACAGAAAAATAAGTTGTCAGAAATCGGCCGCTCTTTGCTGAGCTGTTCCGCGACGAAAACAATGTTGAGCAATGGCAATGTCGAATGGTGACACTCGGTAAGTAATCCTACAATTTTTTGTTTATAGCGTAGTTTATACGGATTATTCCCAAAAAATATATACGTATTTTGGAAATGTTGAGTCGGATTAGTCTAGAATTGATTAATTTTATGGAAGAAAACTTTTCAATCAGCCGTAGTCCGTAAACTTCACACGTGTCGGGCTGTGATTGGAAGGACTCGTAAGAAATCGGATTTCTAAAGAATGGAATGTATCTATGATCTTATAGGGGGGTCAACTGTATATTTATGAAATTTCTTATATATACATAGGCTGTTCTTTTTTCAAGCTCCAATGGTCTATAAAACAAAGACAAGTGTAAATAACAAAATGAATTTATTACCAAAAGATAGGTACAAACATGATTACTTTTCGACATAATCACCGTGAAGATTGAAACATTTGTCATATCTGTGTACAAGCTTTTCCATCCCCTTGTCAAAGGATGTTGCCACCAATGACTTGAGATGAGCCCTAATGTTGTTTTGAAGACCATCATTAGTCTTGAACCTCTGCCCTCCTAGCCACTTTTTCTGTTCAGGAAAGAGGTGGAAGTCGCTCAGTGCTAAATCGGGGATATACACTGGTGTTTAAAGGTGGTGAAGACTTCCACTTCTTTCCTGAACTGAAAACATGGTTAGCAGGGCAGAGGTTTAAGACTAATGATGATCTTCAAAACAATGTTGTTAAGCCATCTCAATTCACTGATGGCAACATTCTATGACAAGGGAATGGAAAAGCTTGTGCACAGATACAACACCATGTTTACACCTAACTTTTCATAATAAATACATTTTGTTATTTACACTTGCCTTTGTTTTATGGACCATTGGAGCTTGGAAAAAACCACCCTCATAATTATAATACACTAGCACAACACTGTTTTAAAAATTATGTAAACTGCATAACAGATATAACAAAATAATCACTTTGATCAAATGAAATGTTATATACAACAAAATATTACTTTACTGTATATAACAGTTTTTGACATGTGTGTTTATTTAATATAATGCAAATATTCAGTTAAGAGCTTTCTGGATAATATAATGTGTCAATAACTTCTTAGATTAACATAAGATAACTTTATATATATTGGAATGGCTCTTACTTTTAAGTTTTGGAAAATTAGATAGGGGCATAATTTGAATCTGTTCTATTGTGAAAAAAAATTTGGTTAGTTTTGAATAATATTTAGGAATCAAAACCATAATCTGTAAAATTGCAATATGTCATAGAACCACTCACTGTTCAAATAGAAATCTTAAGTACAGCAGTAAGAGCACAATTTCATGTTATGATATTGTATCATGGAAATTACAACTGTAAATTTTAAATGGTTAGGACTATATTACCCTACATTTTCCTATGAATATCACTGAAAAAAAAACAAATAAAAATGCTAGAAAATTTGTTAGGAAGCTATTATTATTTGGTGAAATCATTCTTTTTGTTAAAGTAATGAACTGATACAAAACTAGTGCTACAATGTGTTAATCTATCAGGTTTGTGATAGAGGATGGCCTTGATGCCAATAATTAATAATAGCTTCCTAACAACTTTTTTAGCATTTTTATTCATTTTTCAGTGAAAGTCACAGAGCATCCACAGATTCACATATGCATAAAATAGTAATTACATAAATGAATTGCTTAAAAAATATTTAAAAAATTTAATTCATAAATATCTAACTTTAGAAACATTTTATAAAATTTGAAAAATAATATATCAAGACATATCCTCATTACAGTGTCAAATAGTTTTATTTCCAATTGACAATCTTGCACAAAATATATTTGCAATTATAATATCACATAACGTGATATATTGAAATTATTATTTCATTAAAATATTTTCAAATACTTTTGATTTAAAACAAATTTCATTATAAATTATAATTATCTCTTACTACTCGATTTTGTGAAGTAACTTTGAGTTTTTCTTCCTTTTCACCATATGGACTCTTCTTTAAAGTTTTGTCTATGACAATAACTTTCTTTTCTGAATTCTAAAAAGAGAAAAAATATGAAAGTATTTATTTTTCTATCATATTAAGGATGATTGTAAACTTTCAGATCTAATGTATTCTTAAAAATGCAAATAATTTATGCAAAAATCAAATGTTCAAAGTTGTTTATCATAAAGGGAGTGTCCTATTCCTGCTATATATCAAAATAAGTAAACAAGTGCATTTTACAATCAAGGAAATATAAATCAGGGTCGCTCTGAAAAATTTTTTTAAAATTGCCAACCATTTCGCCAGTTTTACTTACTAATTAAATGCAGGTGCTGGTAGCCTTATCAGTTTGGAGTCTGGAAAGCAAAAGTAACATGTTAAGCTGTCACTTAGAAATAAGAACCATTTTGGAATAATTCTTTAATGAATAATTCCAAGTAACACAATGATTTGATCATAATGTTTAAACATTATTTCACATGTTTTGTTTTATTCTACTGAAAAAAGATCAAAGTGAAAAAATGACACCCTAAAATATTCCCCAAATTTTTTGCCAATGGAAATTCTGGGCAGCCTTGCATGAAAACTATTGTTGGTTCTCAATGTCATTTCCTACTTTCCTGTCTGAACTTGCCACAAGATGTCATGAAATTGCTAGGTGTGCAGTGCACAACACTCATTGCACAGGAGCTCAACATTCTGCTGTTTTTCCTGAAGTGTGCTTTCTGATCCAATTTCACACTGAATATCAAAATAAGCTGACTAGGGTTTTTATCACCAGTATTATATTTTATCTCCACCTTAATAAAAACATTGCCAAGAGGCAATTTTGGCTACTATGCAGCACAACTCCTGTATAGTATATTATTATTCTGATTGAAAAATCTATTAATCATGTTACTATTTTTCAATGAAAAACCATTTAAAAATTGAAAGAAATCTAGCCATCTTATTAAATATTATTTGATGTTTTTACTATTTAAATGATTGATTTTTACTAAAATTTATTATATCAATTAACTGAAAACTAATAATTCTAAATTACTCTACTCAAACCTAAAAAATTTAATAAAATATTCAAAATTATATTTAAATTAATATTATAAACATGTAAAAGTTTCATTTTTAAAATGAATGAATATATTAAATGCATTCCTATTTTAATTTGTATTTTTAATATTTTAAATATCATCATTTCATGTAACTGATAAATTCAATGAACAGTAATGGAGATTAGTTAAGTGATGATTAAATAATAAATGTTCAGGTGAATTCAAAAACAGTGTTCGGTTAATTCAAATGTTCAGTTAACAAGTTCATAAAATGATTTATTTGTTAAATCAATTCATTGAAACCTGCTTTCATATCTCATCTAATCTCTAAATAAACAACTCCAGAAATCAAATGAATATTGATACTAAGCTGGTTATTAATATAAATATTAATGATTCACTAAATAAATAAGATTGTCACTTTGCTACAAATTTAATTATTGATTAGGACAACTTGACACTCAAGATAAATTAGCAATTGCTGGCAACATTCTTAATAATTTCTATTATATTTGATAATCAATGGATAAAAAGATAGATAGGACAAATTTAACATAATGTGTATAGAAAAAGTTTGAGCATCTATAGACGGCTTAACCAGCAATATACAGTTGTATTCTATTATCTGAATTTCTATTTCTATAATCTATCGCTAATCAATTCCTGAAAATGTTTTAAATATTGGTAATTCAAATATCAAAGATTTTAGAATATTTCCCATAAGAAATAATGGAGTCATTCCCAATCTCTGCAAATAATCTCTAATCAATTTAGATAAATGATACACACACTGAAGAGGAAAAAAAAATTAACTATCAGCTTAATTCATGCTTATCATCCTAAAATTATAAGTGTTTGAATATTTCCAACTACCAACTACTTTTCTAACAAACAATTAATAATGTCATCAAAGGAAATGTTTTTAATGCCAAACTGAAACTGAACTGGCTTAATTATGTAATTTTGTAGGCAAAATTAGTAACACAGTTTTATTTAGTATAACATTAATGTTTGAAACAAAGTTCATTTTTTTATTTAAAGACCTTAAAAAGAACTATTTTAAAGTATTTAAAATAATTAATTAATATTTATTAATATTACCTTTGAGGTCTCTGATGATATTTTAGATTCAGCTTTAGATGGCATGAATTTATTTGCCAAATCTCTCACAGATGGTAAAGAAGGAAATTTTTCATCTCCAAAACTGCATGAATTTGACAACAAACTGTTTGCTTCTGCAAATGAATGACTATTTGAAGATTTCTTTAATTTAAAAATTTCCTCCTCCAAATGTGAAATCTATAAAATAAATACAATTATTAATTATTATGACTAATTTAATATTTTAAAAACTTTATAAATCAGTAATAATAAAACACAAACTCCTGTGCACAAATTAGGTTCAAAAAAGAATCTCATTTTAGATGTTGAGCTATATTCAATAGATCTAAAATCTAATTATCACATTGTCACATCTTTTCAAAAATATATTCATATGGATCATGAGATTCTTACATCTGAAATTTTAATATCAAACTGATATTTGAGTCAAATTGTCCTTTTTAAGAATCATGATTTATTATTCTCATCAACTTATTATTTGTAATCTTAATTATATTAATATTAAACTTTTATAAAGAAATATTTCATGAGAATTCAATTTGTTTTTATAATACAATGCAGTGTCAAAAATCCAGACCCCATCAAGATTTTCAAATACACATGTAAATTAGCATTTTTAATTCTGTAAACAGGGACAAACTTAAGCTGTATGGAGCCCCAGGAAAACTTTTTTGGCAAAGCCCTCTAAAATACTTTTTCATTCATTGTCATGTGTAAATAGAAAAAATTATATATATATGATATAAGTGTGTGTGTGTGTGTGAAATTCATCTTTTCTCTTAATTCTTTTGTTTTTGTTTCTGTGATACTTTTTTTGATGCATTGTGGGTCCCTAAAAGCATGGCCCTAACTGTAAACTTCTGTAATTCAGATTTAGATGCTTTAAGTTAAAGCTAGTATTTAACAAGAAATGTCAAAATACTAACAAACATTAAAAATATAATTTACAGAATCACTATATTTAAACAAACATATACTAATCATAATTTCAAAATGAAAAAATTACAAATTCTGAATGAATGTTAGAACAACAACAACAACAACAAAGTTACCACTGTAAGAGTTAAATTAATATGATGTCCATTAATTATATAAAAAAAAACATATAAAATTAAAATTGATAATATACATAATTCAGATGAATTAACTCAGCAATAATACAGTATATAATCATTAAACAATTATTACTATCAAGATCAGTATTAGAATTTATGTAACCTTAACTGATAATAAAAATAAGTCAATTTTCTCCAATATGTAACAATACTAACATTTAGCACTAAAATAGTATTTTTATATAAAATTTGATTTACTTGCACGCAAACAAAAAAATATTCTTCAACCATCAATTATTATGACAACTAGATTAATAACCATTCTGATATTTTCAACCAAATCCATTTATTAATTATTACTTATACAGAAATAAAACAAGTTTATAAAGAATTTAGATTATAAAAAGTAACTGGCCTGTTTATCATTATCAGATATATCAGTTGCTATTTTTGCTGTTTCATTTTCAAGAATGTTCATATCTTCCATACTAGTAACCAACTGAACTTCCCTCTCTAGCCGACGAACATGATCTTCTAGAGTGAAAACTTTTCCTGTGCTGATATAAACCTGTAATTATTAATAGAGTATGACTATTTACTTTCATTTGACAATTTTCATAAATTCAAATATAATCTATGAAATAACTGTAATTTTACTATATNTATGTTGCAAGTTTTTATACGGCATGTTTTTTGGTTTGTTAAATATATAAAAATATATACAAAAACGCGCTTAGTTGTAGAATTTTATACTACTGGAACTTATCTTTACAACTTGATAAGTAGAATTTTCCCAGCAAAGAGATAGACACGTTAGAAACTCGTTAACAAACCGGTTACATTAACAATACAGATAGAATCGACACTTCTTGATCGTAATCTAGTCGATAATTAGAAATAAATTGTATAATAATCTCTATTAAATATATTTTTAAAAATTCATCACTCAACTGTTAAATATAACAAATATTTAAATATAAAAATCACGATTTTAAGAGAAAAAAGTGGGCTTAACGTATGTTAAACAACGCATCTTTGTGTGAAAATGATGTTTCATTTTTGGATAATTAATCTTAGCACTTAATAAAATGACTTGACAGTGAAATTACAATCACGGAAGATCAAAAATTAATTACTCCTCTTATTTTCTCCTTTTTTAAATAATGTATTAAAAGATAAATAAATAATTGATTTGTAAAAGTTATTGACTTATGAGACAGATTTTTCTTAGAAAACTGTGTCTTTTTTATTTAAAAAACACTATATTGGCTAATAACATGTAATTTGAATATACTTTAAAATATTTATTTATTTAAAAAAAAATTAAATACTGTAATTATTTTTTAATTTCAAAAATACAAATGCAAAATATGTAATAATAAAAATTACATAGTAATTAAGAAGAGATAATTAAAATCTGATTAATATACAAACCTTTTCTTCTAAAGAATTCAAAGCTTCTTCATTATCTAAATCTACATTTGATTTATTCTGACTATTCTCTTCTGGTATGTATTTGACATTTAATTTCTTCTGTGTTTCATTTGATACGTGATTAATGTAATAGTCTCTTTGATAACGAGATGGATCTACAGAAACATTAAGTATAGGAACGTTTTCAAATGCCTCATAATTGTTTTGTTGCTGCTGACATTCAAATTCTTCAAAAGTTAATGGTCGAATAGCTGACTGAGAAAGTTCTACTGATGGTCTCCTCCTTCCAAGTCTTTTTGCTATATTTGCAGCACTATAAGGATTGTTTCTTAAAGGAATTGCATTCAACCACTTCTTGTGTTCTCTTTCAGCAATAGTTCCTGTATAATAATTAGATTTCTAATATTTAATACTACATATATATTTATTCTATTGATTTCACAGTTTNGTCGCTATTGTTTCGTTAAAAATTATTTTTAAATTATTTTATTGCTCACAAAACAAACAACCACTCATAATTTGAAAATTAAGTCTCATTTAAATACTGGCCTCCTTTCAATGGTCGAGCCACGTTGCCAGCTAAAACATGAAAAAATTTCACAAAAATAATATTAAAGTATCCAAGACATGACCAAATATTGTAGCGCCACATCACTAGTGGACATTTGAAATTTGCCGACTAGAACGGTCGGTTAACTGATGTGACGGTTAATCGGGGGTCCAATAATCGATGCTCTACTGTATACTAATAACCTGGCTTTATATAACTGTTTGGCAAATTCATTTAAAAAATAATGCTATTCAATCAGATACTTTATAAGATTTTTATGAATTATCTACATATACATGTTGAATGAACTGACTAAATACTAATCATTGTAACATTTTAACTGTTTTTGTATTTTGTGATGTATAATATCTGAAAACCCAATAGTCATGATACCAGAATAAATTGAAATTGCTGTGGTGTTATTAGTTTTGTTTCAGTGAGTAAATTTAAAAAATCCACATAAACCCTTCTCAAATTCTACTTAATGACTTTTACCTACTAATATTTGTATTTTCGAACATGTAAATTTTTTTCTGGTAATTNATCTATTAGTACATCATTAAATTTATTGTTCTTTAACAATTTAGTTACCACCGAATAAATTATTTTGATAATTCTTGTGAAATGAATTTGTCTCAAATATATGAAATTCTTGAGGATGTTAATTTCTTACATATATAAAAGTCCAATAAGGGATTTATATAAAATCTGCATAGAATAAAATATCATATATGAAATTGAAAACTGGAAAACTGCATCAGACTACATATTATACCAATTAGAGACTATGGTCAACAATTCCATATGACTGATTTATATACTGTTTCATCTAAGTTATTATGATCCTGTGTCTCTTTATATCTGCAAGAACATATCAATAATATAAAAATCCTAAATATAAAGCACATGTTACTTTGCCATAGATACAGTNTTTTAAGATTTCTTTTAAACTATTTACATTAAGTATTGTATATTAATAAGTTCAATAGACTATAACAACAAATTTTAAGCTGTTTATATTGTAATCAATTTTTAAATAATATATTCCAAAGTTCAAATCTATGTTTAGTATATACTATAATTTCATTCAAAAGTTATTATAAAGTTTTTTCTATATAATTTTAATATAATGAAATTATAAAATTTGTTCAATTCAATATAATTCTTCAATGCATTAGACTTGATTTTGTTCTAGTTCTGTTGTTAATCCAAATATTTCTAATTAATTTCAATACAAAATAATCTTAAAGCATACTTGTCAGAATAATTTCTAAATATTTAAACTACTTTCAAAATTGTACAGTAAGTTATTTGCTTTAAAAGAAAAATTTCAGAAAAACTTGTAGATAATTATTAAACTAAAAGAATAATTCTATATTAACTGCTTCAGAAAAGTAATTTCATTTCAGATTAGGTCAACTATAGTTTTTTCTCTCCCTTGACCTCAATATCACTTTATAAATGTGATATTCACCTGTATCAAATATATTTAATATAATTTTTTCAAAGATAATTTACTTAAACAATTAATTTCTTTTATTTCAAATTGAAAAATATTGAATCAAAATGTTATTTGATATATGAAGCTATTTATTTGTTTATTTCATTTATAAAAGAAGTCATAGTTAAGTAAATAAATAAAATAAAATGTAAACATATTTCAAAATACCATATTTATTTTAAAAAAGTGCACTGTCTATAACTTTTTAAAGTCTGCAACTGCACTGTTTATTAGAAATACACTTACTATTAGAAAAAGACTATTATTTTTATTCTTTGGGAATTGGATGCAACTAATATTCAAGGGCAAGTTTTAATAGAATAAAGCCACTAACATAACACTCAGCTTACACTCACTTTACTTCAACTTACTGTAAGAGTCAAAATGCTGAATAAAACATGCACTTTTTCAGTTTAAAAAAAGTTTTATTTTCCTCCAATAGATAGCATACTATTAGAGGTGCTATCTAAAACTTTTTTACCTTGCAGTTATGCTGTTTATTAGAATAAATACAATATTTATTTTTTAAAGTTTTATTAGTATAAGCATCTTTAAACTTAGCGAGTTTAAAAAGTTTAATTTTAGAAGAATTATAGGCGACTATAAAAATAGAAGCGTGTACAAGGAGCAACAGATTCTTCAATATTTAAAATTAAATTTTTCTTTTTTTTCATTAAAAAGTTTGAGAAACAAAAATAAATTTCATTCAACATTCAACAATATTATAATTTTAAAATATTTATTTAAAAGAACTTCACTAAATGTAAAGTGAAAGTGCTTTTAAATAAGTTAGTATTTTAAAATTAAATTATAGTATTGTCAAATAATATGTTTAGCAGAATCTAATTAAATAAATTTAATTTTATTATAACATTGATAACATTATACAGATTAACATTATATTTTTGTCATTCATCTGTACTTTTATTTTTACAGCAACTTACTTTAGTGTTCAAGGATTATGATATACAGTCGACCCCCCTATAAGATCATTGATTATTCCGTTTTATATGAATTTCATGTTGTACGAGTCACTTAGATTTTACAAATACGTGTACCGGGCTGTGAATGGCTCACATATTTGTAAAATTTAAGTGACTCGTACAACATGGAATTCATATAAAACGGAATAATCAATGATCTTATAGGGGGGTCGACTGTAATTACATAAATATCAAGAAAGTAATTAAAAAAATAATTAAATATAAGTCTTAATATAGTAAATCTTGTCCAAAATAAAACCTGCCTAAATAGAAGATTCTTCAGAATGGGCAATTCCAGTTTACACAGGTTTTACTGCAATAAAATATTAAATGTACAAACCTGGTCTTGGTGGTGCATTTAAATCATTTATATTATCATCGCTATTTGATTCCATATTTTGATCAGCTTCGTTTACAGATGACTGATACATTAGGTGTTCTTTACATTCTGTAAACTAGTTAAATAAAACATATCTATATATTTAAGTCACAGACTAATTCTATATATATACTGTATATATATTCAATACATGTTTTCCACTTGCAAACAAGGCAAGCTACTTTTTATATTAATTAAAGAATCAAAATTGTCAATATACAAATCATAAAATTTATGAAAAATGAATTTATATTTTGAGAAAACTATTAAGATATAATTAATTGATATTATTAATTTAATTGCAATTAATTAATTAACATGCTAATTATTTATTTATTATTCTAATGCTTTTGTTTATACATAAAGAATTGAAAATTAAAATAAATTTCTTTCAGATTATTTTAAAGTACTATAAATAATTAAGGAAAAGAAGAAAAACAACCAAAATAAAATTTTTTGGCTTACTTTTAATGTATTTTTCTCTGTTTTTATTTCAATTTTATCCTTAATTTTCTTTTGTTTTAATTCTGGAGAATTAATTTCATTTGATTTTCTGTTTTGCTGATTGATAATACTAACACTTATATTGCCATGTTCTGTAAAAGTATCAGTTATAAACACTTTTTAAGGAAGTTCATCAAATGCAAATTCAATTCAAATTGCTTTTCTTGAAACAAGAACTTTTAAAAAACTTGAGTATTTTTAAGCTACAAATCTGTCATCACAGGTCTCTTTATCTTTATTTCTTTTTAACTTCTGAAGATGTAGGCACATCCCAAAATCTCTTAAGTTTTATAAAAAGTTTTGTCCAAAGAAAAGTACAGATTTAAATTATAAACTCATTAAACACTCTTATAATCTATCTACAATATTATATATTATTAATTTTTTAAAATTTATATTGAAAAAAATTCAATATTTCTATATTTTTATCTGTAATATTACTTTACATAAAATATTAAATTTATTTTTATCAATATAAAAATCTTCATCCGAATTAAAAATTTATATGCATTTTTAAATAAAGAAAATATACTTAGTGTAATCATTATTGAAGAAGACATTAAAATAAATATATCAAATAATAATTATGTATTATGTAAATGAAAAAAATATATATAATATAGTTTAGAACGTTTACAATTATATGTATTTAATTATGAATAAATGCTTTAATTAAATAATATTTTAAGTTATTTATTTACAAATAAATCGTAATTATTATAATAAAACTTAAAAATTCTATAATAAATAAATAAAAATCTTCTTTTATAAAATTAAAAGTTTCTTATAACGTAAATAACCGAAAAATTCGATATTTAAAATATTATTACTGTTTACTAAAAATATTTTTATCAAATACATAAAAGTAAACAATATTTTAATGATAAAGCGTCTTTTGAATATACTGCAGTTCTTACAATAGTAACGCCCTATTAAAACTGTCAAACAACAATGAAACACATGCAGACAATATTCTTCATTTGTCAATTTTCCACGTGAGTTATTTAGCGTTTTTCTCAAAAAATTCATCATAACAAACTATTTAAATTCAAATACTAGCGTTTTATATGCAGGAATCATTAATTAATTAATTTAAAACAATCAAATAATCATCTTATTATTTTTCTCTGCTGAAAGATATTTTAATATATAATCCACAAAATATTTGATTAAATACATACCTGACTTTATATATAGTTTGAACCGTTACAATTTTAGTAAAATGACGAAAAGAGAGCTTTATAATTAATTTAAGAAAAACGAGAAAAGGGAGAATAACGTTGACAACAATCCCAAGTCGCAACTAAACCGATATACAACCATTTCTTTATTAATACTAAGTTATTAATCTCTACCGAAGTAACAGTTGCGCATGTGTAATGTATTTTATAAGCAATGCATCTGCTATTGTTTTGAACGGTTGACAGATTCGCCCCTCGGATGCTTCCTGTAATCGAACAAAAGCTTGAAACCGGATATGACGTCGAAGAACCGCATTTAGATTAGCTAGGATTATAACTGTTATAACTAACATTAGATAAAAGCATTCTAGAAAGGTCACTGCAAAATTTTATGTGCAATTTGTAAGAAAAACGAAGGACACCTCTCCTAATTTCGTATACAGAAAAAAAAATTTCGGCTTTTGAATTTAAAATTTCTCATTGCTAAATTTTTTTAAAGTTTATGTTGCAAGTTTTTATACGGCATGTTTTTTGGTTTGTTAAATATATAAAAATATATACAAAAACGCGCTTAGTTGTAGAATTTTATACTACTGGAACTTATCTTTACAACTTGATAAGTAGAATTTTCCCAGCAAAGAGATAGACACGTTAGAAACTCGTTAACAAACCGGTTACATTAACAATACAGATAGAATCGACACTTCTTGATCGTAATCTAGTCGATAATTAGAAATAAATTGTATAATAATCTCTATTAAATATATTTTTAAAAATTCATCACTCAACTGTTAAATATAACAAATATTTAAATATAAAAATCACGATTTTAAGAGAAAAAAGTGGGCTTAACGTATGTTAAACAACGCATCTTTGTGTGAAAATGATGTTTCATTTTTGGATAATTAATCTTAGCACTTAATAAAATGACTTGACAGTGAAATTACAATCACGGAAGATCAAAAATTAATTACTCCTCTTATTTTCTCCTTTTTTAAATAATGTATTAAAAGATAAATAAATAATTGATTTGTAAAAGTTATTGACTTATGAGACAGATTTTTCTTAGAAAACTGTGTCTTTTTTATTTAAAAAACACTATATTGGCTAATAACATGTAATTTTATGTTCTGCCTCTTATAAAATAAAACTAGATTAAGACCTCCTTTTTTGTCGGAGGCCTCAGGAAACGATACGTAGGTCACGTATATAGGTATAAATAATAACCGTTAAGAAGGGTGACCAAACAAATATGAAGGGGATACCAGTAATAGACTCGCTGTACCATAAAGTGAGTCTGTTATGAGCTTCCGGGAACAAATTGATCTGCGCTACAAACAGTTAGAAAATACCTTTACTGAACCAGAAATGTCATGCTAGGATTCCTGATAAAACAGCTTTCATATTAATTGGAGTTTATTCTATATGAAAAACTGACTGGAGAGTTATGTCTTCATAAAATCAATACTTCAATTATATATTTATTGTAAATCTCTAGACTAAAGCAAAAGAATCAAACTAAATATTTCGTTTATTTATTATATATTTCCTTCGCTGTATCACAGCTTTTAATCGAGTAAAATATTAATAATTGTATATCTTTATAAATATTCAATTAAAAATTAATTATTATAAAGATTTTGTAACCTTGTTTCCATCCAAAAAGATAACTTGCCAATTTCTTATTTACATTTAGAATAATTTTTTAAAAAAGATTTTGAATAAAATTTAATGCAAACAATACAAAATCAATACTTTTTAATTTGAATCATAGACAAATATTGATCAAAAGCCAATAAAAGAATGTTCACCAATGGCTAGTGAATGGAAGACAAAAAAATCAATCGATCGCGAAAACATGCCGAGTTTTATTGCTTACAAACCGGTTAAAACCGACTTTCAGACTAATAATAACCTCAGTTACAATTTAATTTAAAAATTATATATCTAAAAAGTAAACCTGGAAATAAAAAGCTAAAGAATGTAACATTATAGAACAAAGGGCAATATAATAATAAATTCCAAAATTTGAACCAAATGCTATAATTAATATTTTATAAGTCCATGGCCTGAGACAGGTGACATGGGCTTGCATTCACAAATGGAGTCCCATTTCCTCCCCGAAAGCCATAAAAATGTATGAAACAAACATACAAAACACACACACATATATATTTTACCACTTATCAAAATAAACTTCAATTTATACCATTTCTCTCTCTCTCTCTGCTTTAAAAACTAAATTCTTCAGCCTCAGTGTCCAGAGCCAGGCCAAATGATCCTGCTAGCCTCTCTGTCTAGGCATTCTTAAGTCAAATTATACACTAAATACTGATTTTAAACATTTGGTGATATTTTAATTTCGGGATTTTGTAAAAGGTATATCACTCGTATTATTTTTATAAATACAGTATATTTCAAATAAATTTTACACGAATGTATAACAGTTTAACACCTATTTATCATAACAATGTCACTTAAGGGAATAAATATTGCATTTATAATTTAACAAGTTTGTTAAGTATATAAAATAAGTTTTACTAATTAATTAATTATATAAATTTTGAAATCGTTAAAATTATTGTGTCTATACATTTCTAAATTTACTGAAAAATTTTATAAATCATAAATTTACATTTAAAAAGCTAATAAGAACTCTTGTACCAACTTCCAGGCACTCATAATTTACAACGTTAACGACATGTCTGGCGCCATCTATTAAGAGGTTTTATTTTAAAATAATTTTTACATTATTAATTATAAAAAAGTAAGCAGCTTATTTTTGAAAGTAGGATTGAGTTTTTAAAGAAATTGCAAATATTAATATTAAACGAGTGAAATTTCCATTAAGTCTGACCCCCTTGCTCTATCTCCCCACCCCTTAACCTTTAACTATCAAAATTTAATAGCATAGATGTACCATATACAGAAATAAGCCTACCACGTTTCAAATTTTTCCTTCATCTAGATCTGGGACACAATGCAAAATAGACGCCGACACATATAACTTTGTAAGGGTTTTATTACGAGTATTATTATTATTATTATTATTTTTTAATGGCCCTGTATGTCCCTGGAGTGTCAAAACGTCAGAAATGAAAAACATTCGGGGATCAATGGGCTAACCGAGTGGAGTTTTCTGTTTACTTCAAATTTCTAATTCAGTGGGTGATCGGTTAACGAACATAATCCGTTCCAAGACTTTGTTCGTTATCCGAATTGTTCGTTAACCGAATATCGATTTACCATAGGTTTTACGGGAATTTGATTAATTCGTTCTGGAGACCCCCAAAATAAAAAAAATATACACTTTCTTACGACGTTTATTTATATGTAATAATAAAAATACATATACAGTATACACGGTCTTGATTTTTATTAGTCATGTTTTTCCGTTTGTGGGGGTTAAAGAATGTCTAATGAAGAAGATAGAAAAGCAACCGACAAGATTTTTCAAAAGTAATTAATAGCATTGTAATTATAGAGATCCCCAAGCCTATTAACCTCAACCTGCATCCTCCCACTTCTTCAAAAGTATATTCCTATCTTCCTCATCTGCAAACTGGGCTGAACGTCTTTTTAAACTCGTGAAATATCAATTTAAATAGAAAATAATAATTTTTAATTCTTTTCATCTCTATGTCCTTAATATAAAAGGAAAAAAGTAAAACATTGTCTACTTGGAACTTTTTTATTAATAGGACTTATACTGGTGTAGTTTCTGATTAGCAAAGAGAGGAAGTCAGTCATAAAGGTAAAATAAAGATATTTTGTCTTACCTTTCTTTTGTTTTACCTTCCTCTCTTTGCTAATCAGAAACTAAACCAGTACAATAAGTCCTATTATTAAACAAAATCCACTTAGACAATATAAAAACAAAAAAGTAACAATTTTTAATTTTAAAATGTTTT